CCTGTATGACTATGAGGCCAGGACAGAGGACGACCTCACCTTCCAAAAAGGGGAGAAATTCCACATCATCAACAACACGTGAGCTCCCCTGCCACCCCCAGTGTTCCCATGCCACCCCCAGTGTCCCCATGCCACCCCCAAGGCTCTGCCTTGGCTCTGTCGCTGGGTACAAGAGAGCCAGGCCCACGTGTGTCATGAGTTGGGCGGTCTCAATGGAGATGCCCTCTACAGTGGGGTACACGAGGTCTGGGGGTGCTGTGTCTGTCTGTCTGTCCCTCCCCCTCACTCCCAGTCCCTCTGTCCCCAGGGAAGGGGACTGGTGGGAGGCCAGGTCGCTGAGCTCAGGTGCCACGGGCTACCTCCCCAGCAACTACGTGGCCCCCGTGGACTCCATCCAGGCAGAAGAGTGAGTACAGGAGGGGACAGGGATAGAGGGGGACCCCGACTGCCTCGGACCCCAGTGTCCTGGCACCCGTGGCGCTCCCCCGGTGCTGACCCTGGCCCTCTGTAGGTGGTATTTTGGGAAGATCGGGCGCAAGGATGCGGAGCGGCAGCTCCTCTGCCACGGCAACTGCAGGGGCACCTTCCTGATCCGGGAGAGCGAGACCACCAAAGGTACAGGGATGGGGATGGGGACATGGGGGGGCTGTGCCTCACGTCCCCCCCTGACCCATGTTCCCATGTAGGTGCCTACTCCCTCTCCATCCGGGACTGGGACGAGGCCAAGGGGGACCACGTGAAGCACTATAAAATTCGGAAACTGGACAACGGGGGGTACTACATCACCACCCGTGCCCAGTTCGACACCGTGCAGCAGCTGGTCCAGCACTATATAGGTAGGGTAGGGTGAGGGGACATGGTGGGGGCGGCACGGGGAGGTGGGGAAAGCCCACAAGGCCCTTTGGCAAGAGATGCTGGGCTAACTGGGTTGAACTGGGAAGGAGGCGGTGGCATTAGAGAGGCTCCCTGTGGGTGTCCTTGGTGCAGTGCGCACAGAGAAGGTAAAGAGCCCTCAGGTTTGGGTGGGCATGGCTGGGGGGGATTGGGGTCCAGCGCAGCCCAAGGGGGTACAGGGCCATCCCT